AAGTGCCCGCGGCTCTGTCCTGTGCTGGCCGTGCCATGAATGGCTCCTGGCAGATTGGGTTTCAGGGTGGCATTTCTGCAGCTCGGCCTCGCCAGGGCCGGGGGGCTCCTGGGGGGAACTGAGGTACAGGGGGGACTCAGCTCTCTTTGGGCCTCTCCCACCCGGAGAAGGCAGCTTGAGGGGCTTTCCCCAATCCTACAGCTCTTTGGTTGGCATAATCCCATCCACGGGGGCTCTGGGCTCCCCCTGCCATTGAGGCCACCATATGGGATCAGACCCCACGTGCAAAGACAGCCCAAAAACAAAAACGAGGAGAAAATCCCTGGAGGATCCACCAACACCCCTGCTTACACCCTCAGTGCCACACATGGGCTGCCCATCCCTGCAGGGGATTATTCACCAGTATTTCTGAATCAATTCCATTTAAAACTCCCAATCTTGTCCCTAATAACCCAGTTGGATCCTTTCTTATTCTGCTCCTGAGGTATACCTGTCTTTGTAACCACCTTGTCCAGCCCTCAAAGGATGTTCTTAGGAAGGAGGAGCAGGCTGGTTGGATTTTTGAGATGTTAATTTGCATTAACAACGTTTGAGAGACCATTCTGGATTGAATAACAGTTGTTGTTCACTCACATTCCTCATTACGTAGGGGCCTATTTCATACACTTCACGTTCAAGTTTGGGTTGAGTCTGAACTATTTGAGTCCCAGTGTGAGTTGTATAAGGTCCTGCTGTTGTAGAAAGTGCAGTGTTTATTTTAAATTTAAATGATCCCCCATTTCACCTGGGAGGGTTGGGAGCTCAGACAGGGGGAGCTGTGGGAAAACCCTTTGGGAATGGTGTTTCCCAGCACCCTCATCCAAGAGATGAAAGCAGTGGGACTCCAACAGCAAGGGAGGGCAGTGCTGGCTCCTGGGGAGGGGACATCTCCGGGGGTCCCACCATGGGGATGCTCCCAGCTGCCTGGAAACCCACTCTGGCACTCAGTACCCTGCCCAAAATTAAAGGGGGATGGGGGTGGGATTGGCCTTGATGTCCCCACCCCCCAAACGTGACCCCACCCTCAAATCCCAGTGCCATTGGAATCCCAGGGCTGGAGGGAGGCCCTGAGGCCAGCCCCTGGGGGTGGCAGCTTGCCCATTACTGAGTGCCAGGGGATGCAGCCTGCCCCCCAAGGATGAAAGGGCCCCCAGGGCTCCCCGCCTGACCCATCACCCTCTCCTGTAGCTCTTTGCCATCTTCGCCTTCGGCTCCTGCGGCTCCTTCAGCGGCGAGACCGGAGCCACAGTGAAATGTGAAGGTGGAGGGATGACAGCCATCAGCATCCAGTTCGGGTACCCCTTCAGGTGAGGGGTGCTGAGCCCTGACACCCCCAGGCTGCCCCACACAGGCTGGGGGTGCTGGGCTGGGTTAGACTCCCTTCCTGCTGGCAGGACCTCCCTGGGACCACAGCCAGGGTCTCTGCAGTGCCATGTTCAGCTGGGAATGACCCACACTCTGACCCCATGGGACATCCCCTGGCATCCCTGCCACTTCCTGACACCACCCAGGGGGATTCTTGTAAATCACAAAAGACTGGGTGGGGAAGGAGGGAAATTCTCAGTCCTTGGGGAAGTCCACGGGAATCCTGATTTTTCTGGAAAGGCAATGATGGAGTTGGGCCAGATGAGAGTCACAGTTCCAACCCCTTTCCTCTGCCACCTGCCCCATGCCAGGGCACTAGATCATGGAAAAGAATCCAGGTTATGGCAGTGGATCTGTGCCCTCCATTCCCAGGGGACCACCCCAGCCTGGTTATTCTATCTATCACCATCAAACCTTCCATTCCCAGGGGGTCGCTGCAGCACTTACTCCATCCATCCCTCCCATCCCAAGGGACCACCCTGTGCTGGTTATTTTATCCATCCCTGTCACTGTCACTGTCTCCATTCCCAGGGACCACCCCAGCTCTTACTCCATCCATCCCTCCCTCTCATTGCAGGAGACCACCCCATCCTGATTATTCTAACCATCCTTGCCACCATCTCCATTCCCAGGGGACCACCCCAGCTTGGTTAATTTAGCCATCACCATCAAACCTTCCATTCCCATGGGACCATCTCAGCACTTACTGCATCCATCCATCCATCCATCCATCCATCCATCCATCCATCCATCCATCCATCCATCCCTCCCATCCCAGTGGACCACCCCATCCTGGTTATTCTATCCATCACCATCTCCATTCCCATGGGACCACCCCAGCCTGGTCACACCACCCACCCCCACCATCCTGTCCATTCCCAGCCCCCTGACCCCCTGCCTGTCCCCCAGGTTATACCAGATTCCCTTTGGGATGCCCAACTGTGAGGATGAATCAGAAGCCCGCACCCTGTACCTCGTGGGCGATTTCTCCGCTCCCGCCGAGTTTTTCGTGACCCTGGGGGTCTTCTCCTTCCTCTACTCCATGGCTGCTCTGGTGCTCTACCTCCGCTTCCATTCCCTGTACACGGAGAACACGAAGCTCCCGTTCACAGTAAGGCAGGCTCACCCCGGGGCACGCGAGCCCAGCGCCGTGCCAGGGTGCCAGCTGATGCCAGGCTCTTGTCCTGGCAGGATTTCTGTGTCACCGTCTGCTTTGCCTTCTTCTGGCTGGTGGCAGCAGCAGCGTGGGGCAAGGGGCTGAGCGACGTGAAGGCGGCCACGCGCCCCTCTGCCCTCATCGCTGCCATGGCCGTATGCCAGGCCGATGGTGTGCTCTGCAACGCTGGCACCACGCCCGCCATGGGGCTGGCCAACATCTCGGTGGTGAGGGCATGGGGGCACACATAGGGTCATATACATGGGCACACATGGGCACATACATGGGCACACACCCACAGAAACACACAGGAGCACACACATGGGCACACATGGGCACATACATGGGCACACACACACAGGAGCACACACATGGGCACACACATGGGTACACACACACACAGAGAAACACATGGGCACACATGGGCACATACACACAGGCACCCACACGAGCACACACAAGGGCACACACACGGGCACATACACAGGCACACAGGGGCACACACACAGGCACACACATGGACACACATGGACACATGGGCACACACACAGGCGTATACACGGGCACATACAGGGGCACACATACACATGGGCACACACACACACAGGCACACACAGGGGCACACACATGGGCACGCAGGTGTACACACACATTTGGCCACACCTGTGCCAGATTCCTGAGCTCAGCCAGGAGAGGGCAGCATGGAAATGTGGGTGAAAACTTTCCACAGCCACCTGCCTTGGTCCCACGGGATGTGGGATCCACTCTGCATCCCCCCCACTGGGATCCTGGTACTGGGAATGGGCACCCTGCACTGGGAATGGGCACCCTGCACTGGGATCCTGGCACTGGGAATGGGCACCCTGCACTGGGAATGGGCACTCTGCACTGGGATCCTGGCACTGGGAATGGGCACCCTGCACTGGGATGCTGGCACTGTGATTGGGGCACACAGCCATCAGGGAGTGCCAGGATGGGGTGAAGGATGGTGATGCACTCCCTGGCAGTGTTTGGGATGTGTGGGATGTGACGTGCATGGGGGCATGGAGCATGTGAGGTGCTTGAGGTGTATGGGGCTCATGGGGTGAAGTGGGGTGCATGGGGTGCATCTGGCATTGGGGTTACACGGTGTACATGCGGTGCATGAAGCATATGGGGCATACAGGGCCCGTGGGGTGCACAGGTTGCATGGCACATGTGGGGCACATGGGGTGCACAAGATGCCTGGGGTGCCTGGGTGGGGAGTTTGGGGTGTGTGGGGCACAGGATGTGGGTTACACATGGGGCACATGGGTGCCTGGAGTGCAGTGGGGTGCATGGGATGTATGGGAATTATGGCAGGTATGGGGTGCACAGGATGTGTGGGACACACACCATGCATGCAGTGTATGGAATTTATGGGAAGTATGGGGTGTATGGAATGTATGGGAAGTTTGGGGTGCATGGGGTGCATAGGGCGCACACTATATACGGGCTGCATGCAGTGTATGGAATGTATGGGAAGTTTGGGGTGTACGGGGTGCACAGGGCCCACACGATGCACAGAGTTCATGGTGTGTATGGAATGTATGGGAAGTTTGGGGTGTCTGGGGTGCACAGGGCACACACGATGCACAAGGTTCATGGGGTGCTTGGAGTTCATGGGACGCACAAGGTGTGTGTGGGGTGCTGTGCTTCCCCAAGGCCGCCCTGTGGGACCCTCTCCCTTTTTCTCTCCCCTCTCCCCTTTCTTCTCCTGCAGCTCTTCGGGTTCCTCAACTTCCTGCTGTGGGCCGGGAACTGCTGGTTCGTGCTGCGGGAGACGCCGTGGCTGCGGCCGCCCGCGCCCCGCGACAGCGCGGCCGAGCAGGGCGCCATCGACAAGCAGTGACCGGGGGGACCCAGCTCGGGGGGACCCAACCCGGGGGGACCCTGCCCGGCCCCCGGGACCTCGCGCCGGCCGCCAGCCCGGGGACCGGGTGTCGCTGTCCCCGGGCTTGGAGCTGCAGGGGGACACGGAGTCCCGGGGGTCCCGCTCGGTGTCGGGGGCTCCGTGTGTCACCCCGGGGTCCGTGTCTGTGTGGGGCGCATAAAGTCCTGGCTACCAGCTGTGCACTGGGGCTCCTGTGTCTGCCTCGGTGCGGAGCTGAGCGCACCCCCGGGTGGGGCACGACCCCTGGTCCGTGCAGGGATAAACCCGTCCCATCTCTGGTATAGGGTGAGCTGTGGATCTCAGATCAGTATTGGGCTGATAGAGGGTGCCAGACAGGTCACAGGGGACCCCAGACCAGGAAAAGGATAATCAGGAAATCCAGTCTGGTATTGGGATAATATTGGGAGCACCAGTCCTGTATAGGAAGAATCAGGAATCCTAGTCCAGTAAAAGGATAATCAGGAACCCCAGTCCAGTATTGGGATAATATTGGGAGCACCACTTCAGTATAGGGACAATCAGGAACCCAGTCTGGTATTGGGATAACATTGGGAGCACCAGTTCTGTATAGGAATAATCAGGAACCCCAGTTTGGTATTGGGATAATATTGGGAGCATCACTCCTGTATAGGGATCACCTGAAACCCCGTCTGGAATGCGAATAATGGCAGGGAGTCCCAGCTCCATACAGGGATAACAGGGAACCCCACACCAGCAGTACAGGCATAACGGGGGTCCCCAGCCCCACGCAGGAATAACCTGGAATCTCAGCCTTGTATGGCAATACCCTGGGCTCACAGCCCAGTATAGAAGTAACTGTACCAGATGCCAGGCCCTTATAGGAATAACTGGGGTTCTAGGTCTGGTATGGGGACAACAGGGGACCACAAATGAGTATAGGGATACCGAGTATAGGGATACAGGGTACCCCCATCCTCACACATCCCCCACCCCCATCCCCATACAGGGATAACAGGAGACCTCAGCCCCTTATAGGAATAACTGGAGTTGTGGATCTGGTATGGGGATAACAGGGAACCCCAACTGAGTATAAGGATACCGAGTGCCCATAACCTGTTATAGGGATACTGAGTGCCCCCAACCTGTTATAGGGATATCAGGAACCCCCAGCCTGTTATAGGGATACTGGGTGCCCCCATCCCTGTATAGGGATAACAGGAGACCCCAGCCCCTTATAGGAGTAACTGGAGTTCTGGGTCTGATATGGGGACAACAGGGAACCCCAATTGAGTATAGGGATGCTGAGTGCCCATAACCTGTTATAGGGATACAGGGTACACCCATCCCCACATATCCCTCATCCCCATACAGGGATAACAGGAGACCCCAGCTCCTTATAGGAATAACTGGAGTTCTGGGTCTGGTGTGTTGACAAGAGGGAACTCCAACTGAGTATAGGGATAACGAGTGCCCCTAACCTGTTATAGGGATACTGAGTGCCCTGAACTGTTATAGGGATACCGGTTACCCCTAACCTGTTACAAGGATACCGGGTACTCCCATCCCCGTACAGGGACACCGGGTGCCCCTAACCTGTTATAGGGGTACCGGGTACCCCAATCCCCATGCAGGGACACCGGGTACCCCCATCCCCGTACAGGGACACCGGGTGCCCCTAACCTGTTATAGGG